GTAAATGTTTTATAAAGGTCATTTACAAATAATTTGCACAGTCTGTGGAGTGAACCTGATTTACATTTGACTGTTTGTAAGGATGCATTTAATAATGTAAATTTAAAATACCCATCTGGATTAGCTAAATTGACTATACTAGTTGGGATGTGCACAAAAAGAAAAACAAAATTTAGAAATTAATAAATGAAATGTTTTTATTTGATTTGATTTTAATGTATAATTGTCTTTATCCAATCAGCTTTATATTTAAACATTCAATGTAATAAAATGAATAGTCTGAAAATTTAGACTAAAATAATCTATTGATAAATATTACATTACAGACCACCTAATACAAAAATGGTAGCATTTAAATGATGAATTTTAATAATCTCATTATAGGCCTATAAAAATGTGAAATATAGGCCTATAAATGTATAATATAGGCCTACAAAATGCATTATATAGGCCCATGAAAATTAGCATTATTGATTTAATGTTTAACAAAAATAGCAATATTATGCATTATTTTTGTACTCTTACAAGTAGTGCTAATGTAAAAGTCTTTGCAATGGTTTATTTGCCTATAAGCTAAGTAAAAGAGTTTTAAATGAAGTAACAATATTTTGTTGCACTTTATTTTATGTGTTTTGTACACACATGATCCATAATTACAACTAACCCTAAACCTAATTCACATTCTAACCCTAACCATATATTAAGTACATTTGATTCATATTAGGGCTGCTCGATTTAGGGAAAAATCATAATCACGATTATTTTGGTCATACTTGTAATCACGATTATTCAAAACAATTATCGGTTGAAGTCAAAATGATTAGCGCTCATGAGAATTTTTTAAAAATAAATATTTCCCAAATGATGTTTAACAGAGCAAGGAATTTTAACAGTATTTCCTCTAATATCTTTTCTTCTAGAGAAAGGCTTATTTGTTTTATTTTTGGCTAAAATAAAAGCAGGTTTAAATATTTTGAAACCTATTTTATGGTCAATATTATTAGCCCCCTTAAGCTATTTGTTTTTGATTGTCTGCAGAAGAAAATACTGTTATACAATGACTTGCCTAAATACCCCAATTAAGCCTTTGAATGTCACTTTGAATCTGAATGCTTGTATTTTGAAAAATATCTAGTAAAATATTATGTACTGTCATCATAGCAAAGATAAAATAAATCAGTTATTACAAATGAGTGATTTAAAACTTTTATGTTCAGAAAAAAATCTTCTTTCCATTAAACAGAAATTGAGGAGAAAAAGGGTTGCTATATTCAGGAGGGGTAATAATTCTGACTTCAACTGCATATATACAGTTGTTTTCCACCCTGCAAAGGAAAGAGAAATAAATACAATAGAATAGAAATATGAAACAAACTGCTTTAAGCATTTTCACTGTAAGAAAAACAATTTAGCTGCAAAAGTCTTTCAGTCAAGAGCAGTGAGGGATTTTCTCATGTTGTTGTTTGATTGATGATTAAAAAACAGGCGGCAGCAGGAAAATTGCGCGCTTTCACTTTAATGGTTTCTCTTTCACGTGTCTTTTGATTCTCAACTCGTTTGTTTATTACACCAATGAGGGTTAATATGAATAATTATTAAACACCGCGTTTTGACACCTATTTGACCATTAAATCGCTCATGCTAAGATGACTTGGATGTGTGCGTTCTGCTCGTCTCAGTGTGCGAATGAAACCGAATGCTGACCACATGCTTTTGACTTGTGTGTGCCGGACACACATGCCGTCTTTCGCACTTTTAAGAGCAACAAATATGTCCTGGAAAGGGGGCGGTATATGATGGAATAATCGTTTATCTCGATTTATGGTTTTTCATAATCGTTAGAAGCCAAAATCGAAATCGGATTTTCGATTAATTACACAGCCCTAATTCATATTACTCCAAAGTTAGTTGCGCTGTATTAACCCAATATTTCTCTTCCCTCTCTTTTTTTTCCTCCGTAGGCTGAGCGAAGACAGTCTGTGATGTTTACTGTGGTAAATACTCCAAAGAACAGTGCTCGTGGAGACAGCAGGCTTCAGCGCGGCCTCAACAAGCTGCGTAACAGCACCCGCAAATCTCCTGCCGTGGCCAGTCGGGCTTTGCGCTCGGCCGTGAGCGGGAAATCTCCCCTGGACGTCACTCTGAGGAAATCTCCCCGAAACAAGTCCCCGAAAACATCCAATGCCAAAAAGGTACAGTGAAGTATTTAAAGGTCCTGTGATTTGCTTTGAAATGTGCATTTTTATTTTTTATTTGGAGTGACGTAATCGCAATTAAAATATGGAGAGGGTGGGGCGTAGTAGCGCCTTCCCTTTAAAAAAAACAGCCAATAGCCTTTTGTTTTCATCACAGCTCTGCCAATGAGTGTGTTTGAGTGTGGGTTAATCATGCATGAAATGCAATAAACAAACTACAAGCATAGATAATACAAAATACCAAAGACAATAATGTGATAACAGTAGTGTTTTTCAGGCAGCCAAATAGTACTCCAAGTACAGAATTTAAATAATTAATGTGAAACAACACTGCAAAAGTCTTAACTGTATAATTAGTTCGATTAAAGTATTCTTTATTAAATGATGCTAAATGTTCCTGAATACTTTGAACTCTGTCAAGCCTTAAAAACATGTGCAAATGCTAAACTTTCACTCCATTATGGTCAAACTCTGCAATAACTACTCAATTCTCATGTGTTCTGAACTGTTTCACCTGGTCGACTATAATCATAACTCAACATTGCAGATCCTGTGATGTGACTATGTGCACATCGTGATATCAATGCTGAAACAATATATTGTGCAGCCCTATTAGCAATTTTTGTTTCTAATATATAATTATTGCAATGTTTATATATATTTAAACTCCAGCATTTCTGCTTTGAAATTGTAGGCATGTTAAAAGTGTTTGCTGTATGTGTGTTTAGGAAACACAGTGACCGTCTGCGCTGATCTGTGCATAAGTATGTGATTGTACAGTACGTGTCTGCTCTATTATGGGGAATATAAGCTTTAACTCTGGTCTCTTTCCTTTATATGGGTTCATTACACTCACCTGCTAATTAGATAAATAATCTTTTTTTCCATGGTTGGTGGCTGGTTTGATTTATTTTATTTGAATTGTTTTAATTGATTTATTGTTGGATTTTATCAAAAATTATTTGAATGATTGTTTTTAGATAATACAGGGAATGCGAACTTTGCACATGAAATTTACTCGGTTATTTATATATAAATAATGTTGTATATAAATTAATGTTTTATATTTATATATATATATAT